AAACTCTTCCTTCTATAAGTTGCTTTGGTCAGTGTTTCTTTCAAAGCAATAGAAAAGTAACTAATCCCAGCACTTGGGTGGTGGAGGCAGGAGGATCAGGAGTTTAAAGTCATCATGATTAGAAAGGGAATTCTAGATCAGCCTGGGCTAAATGAGACCTTATCTCAAAAAACAAAAGATACTTGATAAAGTTCTCTGTGATACTAGAAATGAATCTGATTCATTTGCTTCCTTTCATTTCATTTTTTTTTTACTTTAGGGAATGTCTTTTTATTCCCTTTTTGATCTGCTTTCTAAAATCTATGTAAGGAATTTGCTTGCTATCAAAATCAAATCTATGACACAAGATCCATTTACAAAGACCTACTTTTTAATTATTAAACTTTCCTTTTGTATAAGTTCCTTTTTTTTTTTCTAGCTCAGATTCCTTGTACCTTGGCCTCCCAAGTACAGGGATTACAGGTGTGCACTGCTAGACCAAGACAGATTACCGTTTTATTTATTAAGATTTTATTGCATTTTAGTGTGTGTCTGGCTGGCTGGCTGTAAGTCTATTTGTCTCTGTGGGGTATGTGCATGTGAATACAAGTGCCTACTGGATCTTTCTGTAGCTAGAGTTACAGGTGGTTATGAGATGCCCGGTGTGGGTACTAGGAACTGAACTCAGATGCTCTACAAGAGCAGTAAGCACTTTTAACCACAGAGCCATCTCTTCAGCCTCTATGTTAGAATTTGAAAATTAGTTTTTGGTACATACCTCATTGTTTTTTCTTTTTAACGTGTCTCTGTGTTTTGTGTGCATGAGTGTTCATATGTTTGTGGGCACACGTGTATATGTTCAAAGGTTCCCTTTATACAGAGGCTGACCTTGAATTTGATGTATAGCCAAGGATGATCTTGAGCTTCTATTCCTTTCTGGAGAGCGTCTTAATAGAGAATGCGTCTGTGGATTTCAACAGTGCTGTCAACCTCTTTACATTTCATGGAGAATTTCACAAGAAGGGTCATTTCTATAGAGTAAGCCTCCAAGGTTTTCATTAGATTCTCAAAGAAATTTGTGAACACAATTCCACCAAAATAATTCATATATCCAAAATTCATCCATTGTGTCTCCAAAAGGTGTTGATCTTGGAAGACAGACCTGTCAAGAAATCTGAAGCACTGGTTTTGGAATCAGGAGCCGAAGCCTTCATGGAAACATTTCACTTGCTCCACTGCCTCACTCTTAGATATCTAAGAGCATACCTCCACTCATTCTTAGATGTCTCCAAGAGACACATGTAAATACCTACCTTTGTTTATTCCCCTCTGAAGCCACTAAGCACAAAATAAATCTGTAAAGCATTTTGCATCTTCATTCCACATAGTAACTTTATTAATCAGGAAGTCTGTGTGCAGACCTGCCTTCAAACTCCTGCTACAAGACTTGAGTCTTGGTATTTACTTTTCCAGGATAATTTCCCTTTCTGCTTCAGGGCTTTTGTGAGGGACAAATTAGCAGTTGCTCAATTAGACTGTGGCTGGAAGGGTGGTGGAAAAGGCAGTCTCTACTTGGAAAAATATCTGCAATATAATAATGTACCTTATTTTTGGTAGTACTAGCAGTTGAACCTAGGGTCTTGGGTATGCTAGACAAATAATCTCTCACTGAGCTATATCCTAGCCCTAATAATGTATCTTCTTTAACATTTGTCCTCTTTCTCACTCCTAGTTCCTGAGCATGCTCAGGATGAGACACTGTGTGCTGTTCTGGAAAGAAGATAGTCTTTAGATAGAAATCGACCATAGAGCATTTATATTCTGTGTAGCTTTGGGCAAGTCATATGCCCAGGTTTTTCACTCATGAAGTCAGAATAATACCCAATTTTCAGGGTAGTGCCAGGCCCTGGAGCATTCAGTAATATTGGTTTTTATTGTAACTGGGTGTTGTTTCTAGCCAAGGCCCTCAGCCAGATTCTCTTCTGTGGAACAGTCTGGAACTATATCTGAAAAAAAAAAAGCAAGGAACAGAATAAGGAACATGGAAATGGAACCATAAATATGTACTCTTTTTTCATTAGCATTTTCAAATCCATCTATATCTTAGGTAAATCAGTTTGTTTTTGTTTTTGTTTTTTTTTGTTTTTAAGTTTCCTTTTCTGTTGCTGTGATAAACAATTGTGACCAAAATCAATTTTGGGAAGAACGGGTTTATTTGACTTATACTTCCTGTTCACAGTCTGTCACTGAGGGAAGTCAAGGCAAGAACTCAAGGCGGGAACCCGAGGTAGGAACAATGTAGGAATGCTGATGACTGGCTTACTCAATGGCTCATGCTTACCTTCCTTTTGTAAAATACAGCCCAGGCCTACCTGCCTAGGAATGGTGCTACCCACAGTGGGCTGGGCCTTCTTGCATCAATTAGTAATCAAGACAATCAACCACAGACATGCCCACAGGCCAGTCTGATCTAGGTAATGATATGATCAATTACCTAGAGGAGAGGTAAGCCTCCTCCATGGAGGTTTTCCTCTCAGATGACTCTAGGTTGTCAAGTTGACAATGAAGGCTAACCAGGACAGTACTGGATACAGTCCTTTGTACAAATATATCAAACATTATTCAGCCATTCTATTCATGGACATCTAGACTATTTCCAGTCTTTGCCTATTACCAATACAGCTACTAAGAATATTCTAGTACAAATGTGTGTACTTCAATTTTTCTTGAATAAATACTTGCAAGAAGAATTGCTAGGTCATAGGAAAGATGTATATTTAACTTTTTCAATTTTTTATTTTTAAATGTATGTGTCTGTACATAAATTTATGTGTGAGTGTGTGTGTGTGTGTGTGTGTGTGTGTGTACCACTTGTGTATGTGCACCTGTGGAGGCCAGAAGACAGTGTCAGATATCCTGGAGGTGGAGTTATGTGCAGTTATGAGCTGCCTGACATGGATGCTGGGAGCTAAACTCTGGTCCTCTGGAAGAGCAGCTAGTACTCTTAACCTCTGACACTTCTAAGCTCTGATATTTAACTTTTCAAGGATTTTTTTTTCTACTAAAGTGGTTGCATCATTTCACATTCTTATCTCAGTCAGACATGAAAGTTCTGTTGCTCCACAGCCTCAATAAACAGAAGAGGGGTTGTTCTAATCTTATACCCCATAGAAGAATTTTTTGAAGTGAAACTCCTCTTTTTCTTCTTCATGTCAACTTCATTGGACTTTTTTAAAAGGCCCTATGGATTCTTCTTCAATTTCTTGTTGATTTTTAAAACCATTGCTTTTTAAAAATATTTTTCATTGAAATTTGTGTTTCATACAAAATATCTTATTCATCTTTATACCCCCTTTCCCACTGACCCCCTCCCATATCCCCCAACTGGAATTCATACATTCTGTCACTTGTTTAAGGCCTGTCATGTCAAGTTAGTGTTCCCGGTTGTCCCTTGGTGCAAGTTCATCCACTGAGGTCTAATTAGCCTATCTAGAGTCCCTCCCTTTAAGAAGATCAGCTCTTCCTCACCCAGCAGTAATCAGCTGCCAATCATTCTTCAACTAAGATTGGGGCCTGCTGCCCATTTCCACAGTTCTGTGCTGGGTTTTTGTCTGCTTGAGTTTGCATGGGTCTTGTGCATGCTGACACCATTGCTGTAGGTTCATATGAGAAGAGTCCCAGGAGCCCGTAGGACTCTATTGCCATATGGTCATGCACCTCCTCCCTGGTTCTTACAATACATAAAAAGCATTTCTTTATCTCATTTTAGGAATTACTTTTATAAAATGGACAGAAACTAGACAAATACTTTTAATTAAACTTTCAACCTAGATATTTGACCTTGAGTCTTCAGAACCTCAATATGTTGCTTCACCCAAAGATAGTGAATGAATGTGGGAATGCTTGAGAATTAACAAATCAAAATCTGAAAGGCAGTCCATCTTCACTGAAAACAATGAGGACTGAGAGGAATGCTTAGCATTGTGTGTATGGGATGTTTTAGACTAGGGATGAAAGGACACGATTGCTTGCTAAGAGAAGGGTAGATCTCAGCTTGTAGTTCTCCAAAATTGATGTTGGAGAAACAGTTTTGAGTAAAAGTATGGGTAAGGTCTGACTCAGCAGCACAATTCCAAGAGGAATGGATGCCCTCTGCATTTGGGGCCACTTTTACAAAGCCTAGTTAGGAGTCAGGCTGCTTATTCAAGTATAATTAATGTTGGCGTGAGAATGCTGCATCTTGTGTGTGTATATATATGTGTGGGTATATATAGAGGTCAGAGAACAACTTGGGGGAGTTCTCTCCTTTCACTATTTGGGTTCTAAAGATTAAATGCAGGTTTTTTGGCTTGCCAAGCACCCTTATGTGCTGGGCCATCTCACTAGCCCAAGAGCCAGGATCAAACTCTCCTGTTATTGAGTTTTTCTTTCTTTTTTTTTCCTTTTTGAGCAAGAGCTCTTGGAGCACAGGTAGGCCAGGAACTGGTTGAAGTGGAGAAGGACCCCGAACCCTTAATCTTCCTGCTTTCACCTACACAGTGGCTGGGATTGCAGGTCTGTGTGCTACCATTCTGGTTTAGTTGGTCTGGGGATCCACCCTATGGCCTCTGGTGTGCTAGATGGGCACTCTAACAACTGAACTACATCACCAGCACACTGTTTCATATTTATTTATTTATTTTGGCTTTTCGAGACAGGGTCTCCCTGTAGCCCCAGCTGGCCTGGAACTCACTATGTAGACCAAACTGACCTCAAACTCAAATATCTGCCTGCTTCTGCCTCCCAAGTGCTGGGATTAAAGGCATGCACTACCATGCCCGACCGGTCTGTTTTTTGTTTGTTTGTTTTTTTTTTTAAGACAAAGTCTCATGTAATCTAAGATGGCCCCCAACTTGCTTTATAGCCTTAGGCTTCTGATCCTCCTGTTTCCACCTTCTAAGTGCTGCGATTAAAGACATGTACCACCACCCTAGGTTTATGCAGTGCCAGAGATAGAACCCAGAACTCTTTTTTTTCTTTCACGTCAGATGGGTAATGTGCCGATGTGTAACGAGGTTTGAAGGTGGCACATGTCATGCAACAGTGTGAACACACAATCATCACGCTTATGAACCAAAAAAGGATCTGGAACTTAGGACTTTAAAAAAAAATTATTTAATAACCATATAATTAGTAGAAGCATTTCATTACAACAGCATTGATATAGTCAATAACAGTTTCCAGAGCAAAGATGGATCTCTTTCAAAATTGCCTGTAAATTTTTCAGTGGTAATGTTTTTCATATCTACTAAGTAACATGAAGCAAACTTTTATGCTTCTTCCTCAAATATAACTCATTTTTTGACTGATTTTTTTTGTGTATTTCATACAGAACATCCCAAACAATCTTATTCATCTTTATACCTGCATCCCAAATGGCACCCTCCTGTAGCCTCCCCCTGCCCACTGGAGCCCATATACTCTGTCATCCCTGTTACTGTCCATTTTGTTATCAGTGTCCCAGCCATTCCCCAGTGCTAATCCATTCACTGAGTCTAGTCAGCCTATCTAGTGTTCCTTGTTTTAGAAAGATCAGCTCTTCCTCATCTAGCAGCAATCAGTTGCCAACATTCCTTTAGAAAAGATTGGGATCTGCTCTCATTTTCCCAGTTCTATGCTGGGTTACTGTTTGGCAGTCTTGTGGGCCACCCTAGTCAACAGCTCAGAAGTAGGTATCTTCTGTCTGGCATTGTTTCTTGTTATATAGCCTTTAGCTATTCACATGGACTCTTAAAGAAATAATACTGATCACTTTAATCTTTGGTTATACTTTCCTTTTGGGTGTTTAAGACCATACAGTTGGCTCAGATTAACCAATTTATTTTTACTCTTAAGGTCATTTGAGGATCTTTTCCTCAGGGGTCACATGGGCTTAAGAGGAGCCCCTGGCTCCTTTCTTTTACCAGTTCCATCCATGTTAACATAAGTCAAAGGTCCTGCTCGTCTGCGGCTGGGCTTCATTTGGAAGCATGGAGGAAATGTTTCCTCTGTGTTGACCCTCCTCATTGTAGACTGGGCACTGGTTCAAATCCATCTGGTGGGATCTCCATGGTCTCCTTGATCAAGAGGACAGGTGACTCACCACAGTTACAAGACATTTTGAGAAATGGTCCATAGTCCTTTGGAACTTAGTCGGCCTTGGAGGGCAAGGAGCAAAAACTGTCTTTTAAGTCCCTCTGACCAGAGTAATATAGGCCTCAAAGTGTGGCTGTTAAATATTCAAGAAGGTTACTTTCACCAGTCTGGTACTTTTAATTACCATGCACTACGTAGATAAAGCTTAGACAAAACCCAAACGTTCTCAGATAAACCTTGACTAGGCATATATTGTATTCCTTGAGTTAGTTGTAGGTATAATTTGTCAGTAGGTTGTTGGACTAATATGGTTCCCTCTGTTTTTTTAAAAAACTAACTAGGCATTTTTTATCTCTCTCATTGTCTAACCCTTCCACCATGGTTTCCTCATTTAAAGTGCCCTAATTTTTCTGGAATTCAGGACTTTTTAAAAACAATTTTATGTATTATTTTATTTTTTATGCGTATGAGTGTGTTGCCTGCATGTTGGTAAGTGCGCCTGTGTCATGCAGTGCCTGAAAAGGACAGAAGAGGGTGTTAGACCCTTGCAGCTAGAGTTAGGGACAGTTGTTAGCTGCTATGTGGATGCTGGGAATGGAACCTGGGTTCTCTGCAAGAGCAGCTAGGGGTCTTAACCACTGGGCCATCTCTCCAGCCCCAGGTTTATCAATTCTAATGTGAGGAGAAGGTAGACATTTTTATTGCCAACAAACTGCCCTTTGAAATGAGACTCTGTGCCTCATGGAATTTTGTAAGATGAAGGGGCCCTCTCAGTCACCCAATCCAGTGGATCTCAAGTTCTGATGCACATAAAATGCAGCTATAATCGATGGATTGGGCAGATTCAGAGACTGTGGGTCAGGCAGGGTCCAGGGCCTTTCATTTTTAATATGGTTCTATCTGATTGTCATGTGAGTTTCTGAAGTTCTTAGACTATAATTTGGCAGCTCTGAGTTACTCTAATTACCCTTCTCCAGTGAAAAACCAATTGATGATGGGACAGCAAAGAATCATAACAAAGAAGAAATAGATTTCTTTTATTTTAAAATTCTTAGATTCTTCAAGGCTCAGTTGCCTTGGGGAAAGTTAAAAACCTAAAATTCTGTGATGCATTTAAAATTTTACTTGAGAAGTCTTTCCCATTGTACAGGTTGTCATTGTCAAGTTCTTTAATATTTTCTCAATGTCATTTAAGAGTTAATTTCTAAGAGATAGTCTCATAGGTTCCAGAAACAGGGGCTGGTGCTTAGGTCACAGTGACTGACAAGGGGCTGGTTCGGCACAGAAGCCTTCTGGAGTCTAGTTTTGCCTCAAGACTTGGGTGATATCCATGTACCTGCCAAGAGGCTCTGCTTTGTCAAGCTCTTCATCTCAATAGTGAGTTGTGTTTTAAACATAACTCCTCTGGGTTACATGAACATTTCAAACATATAAGGCCAAGGTAAATCATATCTGTATAGTAAAATTTCCCTAATATGTACTCTAGTCCACTGAAAGCTTCCTTCCATACTGAGGTTCCAGCTAAGCAATATGGCGGGGGATGGCTCTGCATGTACCATCCTCATTTGCCTATGTTCTACTTAATGTCTCAGAATATTAACAATTGTAATTGTTCATAAATTTATAAAAATTTCCTAAATGGGAAGAAAACACTTTAGTTATTGAATAGTATTTCTGTGGAAAAAATTGATTTCAGGATTCATACAGGACTTAAAACATCAATCAGAAAGAGACGCATAAATATAGCATGGTGTGCGATGTGCTATTATTTCCTTGTGGCAATTTGGAAGATTCATTCCTGATTGTACCAATGGCTGATAGTTCCCGGGTGATGTTCCCAGTGATATCTGCAGCTGCTCTGTTGTTGCTGACAATCAAGTTGGCTCCATTTACTTGTTCTAGTCTACTGCAGAACATGAAATATATTATATGATTATGCAGATATCCCACAAGTGAAAGAATTCATGCATTCCAGCAAAGTGTGCTGTAAATTTAGATTAAATGAAGCTGACTTACCCATTGACGTCTATTATAAAACCCAAAATTCATACTGTAGGGGTTGGGAAAATTGGTCCTCAGATATAATACATTTATACTTAATAATGCAACAGTGCTTGTAATGAGACATATTCAAAGAGAAAACAATAACTCTCTGGTAAAATATTAACAACAAGGCATTTGTTCTGATTACAAGTCACATTATTTTAAAAGCACTGTGAGAGGAGCTATAAAACAGTGCCAAATTTTAGAAGCCTGATTGCTTTCCGTTTGTTTTCCAAGAAGCAATCAACTGTTAAACTTCTTCCATTTACCAGCCTTAAAGTGCAAAATACTTCTGACTTTATGTTCAAAGAAATCAGTTTACTTTTTCTGCCCTATTTTGGGATGAGGAAGGAAGAGTTGAGGTTTTTTGTCTTTGAAAATTCCATCTTGTGGCTGGGAGTGTGTGGGACGTAGATATATTTATTCAGTCAGTCAGTATGCATTGATTCATCTAAATGTCTACTATGTCTTAGGCAATTTGCCAGTGGCTAAGGTTAAGAAAATGAAGTGCAGGCCTGGAGAGATGGCTCAGTGGTTAAGAGCACTGACTAACTTTTGCAGAGGACCTGGATTCAATTCCTAACACCCACATCTCGTGGCTCGCAACTGTCTGTAACTCCAGTTACAGGTGTTCCAACACCCTCTTCTGGTGTTCATGAGCATTGTATGCAGGGGTGCACATATATACACGCAGGCAAAACACACCAAAACATAAAATAAATAAATAAATAAATAAA